GCTTTAAGAGGACCGTGGGTCCTAATCCTTCTTATTATACTTCTAGGCAGTTTTTCTCTACCACCTCCTGCTACCATTATATTGTAGCTAATCGGTCACATACTAGAACCTTCAAAATTGTTAGCCAGAGCAAGCCTATTATTTTATCAGTTGAATAATATTAAATATTTCATCATATTACAGAAAGCAGACTAATGTCCAAATCCTGATGTTGCTTTTAGATAAAAATTATCTCCTATTTTTCCAAATTATGTATTATAAATTAGAAGTTTGCTGAAAATTCCATTCCTTCTTTCTTTTATTTCTCTTTTACAATCAAACTTTGCTAACTCTTTGAACTATCAGCACCAACCTAAATGTACAATTATGTGGCAGGTAGGGTGATCAGCCATCACTCTGAAAAGTTTTCGTTATGAACATCTCACATCTCTTCATTTGTTAAAAGAACAGGATTTATTAGGGTTGTATTTGACCTTGATGATTTCTACTCTGACCTTCACTTTTCTTTAATTCAGAGAAAAACAAAAAACTAAGCCTTGGAGAGGTTTGGTGCCTAATCCATAAATAAATAGCTGGCGAATTAGGTTGTCTAGCAGTGGAATCCTGGAGGATTATAATTATTTAACAAGGATAATTCAATCCTATGACTAGGGAGCATGTTTTTAGGCATGTACTGCAATTTCTTGGCTGAACAAATTTTACTCCTCAGGTTGGGTTTTATATCTACTTACAAAAACTCCCTGGGAGTAATTCATAATATTCCTGAACATACAAAGGGTTTGAGCAACTCTAAAGATTCTGTTATTGCTTCAGTATTGAGTCATGGACTCTTTAAAGAATGTCTTAAGATGACATGGAATTATCTTTGGGAATTTGTTTGCTACTGGAAATGACTTCTATTCCACTTTACTGAGTCTGTTATTTAGGCAATATAGTTAGTGTTTGTCAATGTGCCTTTTACTTAGCTGGAAGATAGACAATGTTATTTGTCTCACTGTACTGCGCTATATTTCTTCATCACTAAGCCGTAATTATTATCTTCTTATAGAAAGGTGACTTTTTGCCTCTTGGTGATGTGGCTACTGTCACTGATAACTATCAGTTACTTATTGTGAATGCCTATGCTACTAATGATTACAAGTCTGCCCTCCAAAGTACGGCTTCTATTTGTTTCTGGAGAAATAGTATGTGTTGAGCATATGGCTATAACTAATTCCTCTCTCTTTCCATTAGTTGCATCTTATCAGGCTAACAAAAGTTGTTTTATGTATCATATGAATAGGCTCATCTTTTTTAAGGAACAACAATTTTTTTGTATGATGCAGTTTTTTAATCATTTAGCTTTCATGTTTAAAATAAAAGCAGATATATGTGCACATATGAAGGGTCGGAAGTGATTCAAAGAACTGTACAATATATGTTTCTAAGAGAAAAGGCTATAAGACAAAAACATGTTCATATTAGGTAACGGCTTATGGAAGGATGTTATGAAGCTTCTTATCTATAACCTTATATATCAATTTTAATGGAGTATTTGTTTCTCAGACCCCAGGAAATTCTACAATCAGGCCCTTGTACTGCACCATTATCTTTATCAGTATCATCTTTTATGCAGTGGGGGCATCTTTAGGGAACATTAATTGCTAGCTATCTCTTAGCTACTTAAGGGCAATCTTGGAACAATTACCCTGTATTTATGGGAATGAGGTATTCATTTATTTATTGCTTTTCTTCTACCAATCCCATAGCACTTGACCCAAGCTGATAACAGTATAAACAGGCTCACTGAATATTGCCGGAATTGCCTTTCTCTTCTATCCACTACGTACCCTGTACCAGTTCAGTACTCCCCTATGAGGCTCACTCTTGGCTATAGTGCTGATTGTCATCAAGAATGTACTGAAGCCATCTTTTCAATTTCTTGTAACAGATATGGGAATATCTTTTTCTTATTTTTTTTCCTAAGAATCAAACCGTAATACTGGTATGCGAATCACACAAATGTGTCTAAATGGAAGTCACCTGTCTGGTTTTCAGATAAAATCATTAAAGGCATAATCTCTGTGCTGTTTATTTGGGTGTTTATATGAAATAAACATTCAATCTGACAGCAAAATATACCACCAATGATATTAGTAAATCTATTTATTTGACTTAGGATACAGAATTAATTTCCTCATTTTATAGATCTTTCCTTTAAATAGATCCTAATTTAAATATGTATAATATGTGGTAATAAATAGATGAAATCATAATAATGGATGAAAACACATATGATTTGATTTAATAAAGGAAGAAAAGAAAGATCTCTTACTTTCCAATCTTTGTGTTTATCCCTGGCCACATATTCCTAGATATTCTATGTATAAACCCTTCCAAGAGAACTATGTCATCAAACTTAGTTTTCACAATTAAATTTTGCCTGGCATATAAATGGCAATATAAAAACAGAGGAATAATTTGAAATGGTGAATCTAATGACAGGAAGTCAGGAGATGATGCTAAATGCAGTATACACATATAGATTAAATTTGTATAGAAATCCTTTGTAGTCATGCAAAAAAGGAATTGTGGTGCTCCACTCAATGATATTGTGGTTAATTTAGTATTGTTTTACAGACATAAAAGTTCAGGATAGAGATGCTAAATAATTTATCCAGTGTCCACAAGTCTTAACTAGCAAGATCAGAAATCCAATAATGATTCATTCCTTTGATCATTTATTGCTGTGAAAGAATGAATTTGAAATAATAACAACAATTTTATATGAATTTTTGAGGCAGTTGGATACTATGTGCATTTAGCAGAGTAATTGTAGAGGTTCATCCCTAGAAATACTAGGGATGAAGAACTAACCCCAAACCATGGGATCTTAATCATATTTGTAGGTTTCAAGTGTGCGTTTCCTCCTGTGGAACAGGCCTTAAATCCAAGTAGAAAGCAGTTGGTTACCTTCATAACATTTGTAGCACTAGTTCACATGAACAGTTTTGTATGTATTCATAGATCAGTATAGCTCTTGGACTTCGTCAGAGAGGTATCTTTAGGTAGTGGATGATACTTCAAAGTGAGAGAATAAGTGTCAGTGGAGTGGGCCGTCTAGATCACTCTTCCATCCTTCATGACTCATGGACAATGACAGATGGGAGAGTAGAAAGACTTTAAGAGCCAGAGATCAGAGAGAACCAGAGTGAAACAGTGTTTTCTGTATCGAATAGGACAGAAGAACTTATGTACTCACAGCAACTCTGTCTGCACAAGACTTGAACAAGATTAAGCCAATTAACTTTCTAGTATGGAAAGGAAAGGAGCTTACAAGCCTCTACCCCTACCTGAGGAGCTACAGACATTTTGACTTTTAGGAGATGAAGAGTCACTTTTCTTTATGTATGGGGCCCCACTACCAGAAATATGTGGGCAGGACAAATTTGATCTGTTGGAATATTAAAAAAGAAAGGTCACTATCTTGGAGTAGATCTTGAAGTAGTTAGAGGGAGGAATGGGTTGATAAATGTAATCAAAACATACTGTATGTAATTCTTAAAATAGTCAATAAAAATACAAAATTACTTATTGAGTCACCTTCTGAACTTCTCTTTGTAATATTGCATGGATTGTTTTATTCAACATGGAAGTTGGGTTTTGGGAAGAATTCTCAATTACAAACATCAACAAATCCATAATACACTGTGTGCTTTACATTTGCTAATGTCCCTTTGGCCAAGGTTGGGCACATGGATGAATTTAGCGTAATTGTAGGTGAGAACTACTCATGGATGAATATTGAAAGACTATTAAAATCACAACAATAAAAGCCTACCACAATGCTTATCATCTTTAGTACTTACCTCTAAACTCTTGAGGCCACAAGTAATCTGCTCCCTTGAGCATCATTTTACCAATGCCATATGTGAGGAACATAGAGATTTCAGATGTAGAGTTGAGCACATGCTTTTAGTAAGCTCTCATATTTGCTCATATCTAACGATAACATAAAATTTCAACTTCCCTTAAATGGTTTGAAATGTTTATTTTTTTATTTGTGTGTGTGTGTGTGTATGTGTGTATGAGTTTTTATGCAACACGTGTGGACAAGAGCCTGTGATGGCATGAAGAGATCAACAAATCCCCTGGAACTGGAATTATATATGGTTGGGATTTCACAGTAGGTTCTGAAAACCCCGCCCAGATCGTCTGCAAGAATCAGAACTGCTCTTAACCAATTATCCATCTCTCCAGATACCACTCTTGTCTTCAGTGCTTATTAAAGAACTTTTATTCTGTAAATGAAATGATATTTTCAAATATCTGAATAATTCTCATGAAAAATATAATGCTATTTTGTATTGGTTTTATGTTTAATGCATTAGTGAGCAAAAACAGAGAAATATTATTACATTTTGTTCCTATATCATTGTTCAAATATATGCAGCCAATTTCTTAAAGTATTATGAATAATTTTGGATTTTAAAATGGTTTTTCAAAAGGATGACCTTGATTCCATTATTTCTGTAACAGCAGGATTGTTATTGCTGCAGTTATCTTTTACTTTACTTTCTATCAACTATTATAATTTATTAATAATGCTATTAATAGAGCTGACTTCTATATAGAATTTTTCTGGAAATGTTTTACTCTATGATAAAACATTCCACATCTGTCTGTGAAATATATTTCTAAGCAGTTGTATTTTACATGAATTAATTAAATAGCAATGATCTGTCTTCTATTAATATTGACATTTAGAGAAATATAATCTATTCCTTCTGAGTCATTATGCTAAGCTAAATGAACAAAGTTTAAAGGTAATGTCATTCCAAAGCTCTGTGGTAACCTTGGCAAGCTCTGGTAATGTCATGGTTGCATGGCAGGACACTGAGAAGCGAGGTCAGAAGACAACATCTGAATGAAGTTGTCTTCACAACTATGGTACTGTTATTATGAGTTAATAAAAACTAAAAGCAGTATGTGAGAAGTAGGGAGGAAAGCCTGGAACTTACTTTTGGTGACGACACCTTCTAGGCGAATGATGTTGGGATGGTCAAACTGACCCATGATGCTCGCTTCTCTCAGGAAATCTCTTCTTTGTCTATCCACGTGACCACCCTTCAATGTTTTAATGGCAACTGGGATCTCTCTTTTCCCTGGTGTCTTCAAACGCCCACTGCAGACTTCTCCAAATTCACCTTAAAGAACAAACCAGAAATCACACACTGCTATGTCAGAAAATCCAAATAACTTGCTATTGTTTAGAAAATAATCTAAAACATGTCTTTCGAGTTTGCAATATTTACATGAAAATGCATTTTCTTTAGGCTGTATAAATAATATGCGTGGTGTGTTTATAATGAACTCTTCCTTGTGTTGAACCAAGGGAGCACTGTTGAGAGACATCCCTGATCTGCTGCAGAATTGTGGCCAGCAGAAGGAGAGGTGATAATAAACAATTTCTCTAGATAATAAATCTAGAGAAACGCAACCATTACCTAAAATTCCCTGTTCCTCTACTTCGTCCTAGTCTTTTGGTCAGAAACTTCCCTAGCTTTTGTGGTTTATTTGAACTCTGAAGGTATATGTTTGGGCTTTATGACAATTAGAAAGCAATATTGTTTCCATTAATTTATGAACATTGAGAAAACCCATGTTGAACACAATTATAATAACTGATTATATAGGATACAGAATTATACGAGCTATATTGACAAGAATGTAAATGTATGAAGATGAGCTATGTTGTGGCTGTAGTTGCATCAATAGATTAAATAAGCAAGTACTTTCCGAATAGTTACCACATGAATATATATTGCTAGGCTTCTGTGAGATTCAAGGAAGTGTATGGTATTACCTTAGAAAAATAGGAGATGAAAGCATTCTGTCCATGTAAATACTGTTTCCCTTAAGAATAGCCATGGTTTGAGGACTTCTGAGAGGGATATACCTCGTGTTGGACTGTGAATGATACATAGGATATACAAGTACAGGAACAGTGGGAACAATGAAGACAAGTGTGATGAGTGTGTGATGAAAATAAAGAAATATTAAAAGGTCAGAAGCAGTGAATGAATGATGAGGACACAAGGGAAAAAAAGGTCACCGTCTTTCTCAGGGCAACACAATACATTCGGCAAATATTAAGGGGATGGGCAAATGATTAATTAAAAAGGGCTTGCACAGAAGTATGAAGGCCTGAGTATCCCCAGAACCCATGCAAAGATCACATGTGTAGGGGAGGTGGAAACAGGTGAATCCCATCCCTGGGGCACACAGTTTAAGTCAGCCTAGCCTTAGGCAAATTTGAAGACAATGAGAACCTGTCTCAAAAACAGACTGAATGTCTTCTGAGAAACTGTACCTGAAGCTGTTCAATTGTCCCTATCTACATATCTATACACAAAAACAAATAATCCCCTCCAAAACAAAACAAAACAAAAAACAAAAACAAAACAACTTTAAGATTCCAGTATCTAATTTTTTTTCTAGGGAAAGTGATCTGCATTTACTTTAAACCATAGTGTTTGATGCCAATTTAGTAATTGGTAACATGATAGAGCTAAGACTTACACCTTATTGCATAGGATTCCCTTTGTGCAAAAATTCAGTGACGTTATAAATGATAACCCCCTTTCAAATATTTGCCAATATAAAGTGTCAGGGCTTGGAATGCAGTTCAGTTGCTAATGTTTGTCTAGAATCTATGAAGCTCTGGCTTCAATTAACAGCAGAGTATAAACCAGTCATGTGATGTGTATTTGCAATCACAGCACTAGGGAGGTAGAGTCAGGAATATCAGAAATTCAAGGTCATTTTGGCAGTGGTGGTACACACCTTTAATCCCAGCCCTGGGGAGGCAGAGGTAGGTGGATCTTTGTGAGGTTGAGACCAGCCTGGTCTATAGAGTGAGTTCCAGGACAAAGCTACAAAGGGAACCCCTGTCTCATAAAAACAGCAAAAGGGGAAAGAAATAGAAGTTCAAGGTCATTATTAGTTACAAAGCAAGTTCCTAGGAAGCCTGTGATATGTGAGGCCTGGCTTCAAAATGAAAACAGGGAGCTGGAGAGATGGCGTAGTGGGCAAGAGCTCTTGTTGTAGTGTATGAACCAAAGTAAGGATCTCAGTTCTTGCTGACTTGTAGCTTAACTGACAGACTAGGATCTCAGTTCAGGGAAAGAGAATGTGCCTCAGAGAAGTAAGGTGAGAGTGACAGCAGAGGACACCCACATTCTCCTATGGCCTCCTCATGCTCCTAGCTACACACTTGCTCATATACCATACACACATGCACTCATGCATATATACACACACTCAAATACATGCACACAGTAACCAAACCTAAGTAACAGGGCTATCACACACACACACACACACACACACACACACACACACACACACACACACACACTTTGGAGTATTATTCCTAAGTGACTTTAGGTTTAAATCTTTTAAGGGTGGAAGGAATAAAAACTCATGTCTCTTCAGTATACTACAGCACAGTTCTAATCAATTGTTGGATGAGGATAGAAGATCAGATTACAATTTGCAGTGCCGTGAATTCCACTTATGCACACTTTCTTTTCATCAATTCTTCAGTTAACCTAATTTAATTATACGTGAATAATAACCACTGTTTATCAACTTTAAGTAAAAAAGACATTATTTTCCTTCTAAAAAGTATATGTATGTATACCTGTTAGAAATAGAAAGTCTAACAAAATAGTCAGTTGTGATTATTATTGTTGTTGTTACTAGAACTAGAAACCATATATTACAAAAGAAAGAGGCACCCCCCTCTGGTGGATATAGGCTAATAAGCCAGAAAAGGTGGCCTCAAGGATGAATCTGTCTTTTATACATTAAAAATTCACACAAGCAAGGACATGAAAACACTGATTATAACTTTTTTCCTAGAAAATGCAGTGTTCATAATATTGGACTTGAAAAATCTTGCCCAAATTTTGCAAGAAATATAAGAGTATATTTTAACTTGATGCTCTCAATTTGTTGGGAGATGGGTGTTCATATTTCACAGAAAATGAAGCTGAGTTTTTTTCTTTTATAATGTTTTTGATTTTTTAAAGATTTTAGTTCGTACCAAAAATAAAAGCTGATAGAAATTGCAATATTTTTCTCAGCCTCTGGGACCTTTGTGTGGAAAAAAGATGTTTGAATATATCTAAACTAAAACCAAATATACATAAGGCTTACTAAGGTCTTAAAAGTTTGTCCATTGATTACACCTCTCCTCCTAATAAGCATATAGAAAAATTAAATGTTTCTCTTTGCTTTTCTAGATATTTTACTGCACCTGAAAACACTAGCTAGTATTAACAAAGATTTGACAATATTTAGAAATGAAGTAGCTGGCCTAAGTCCAGATTCATTTGATTTTTTCCCACTCACATATCATAAGAATTCAAATAAACTTTTGAGACCAATATAATAAATGACAGCTTTCCTGGTTTTTATCAAGACAAACATAGTGGTAATTTTCTTTGGTTTTCTGTTGTCTGAAATCCATGCATCTTATTCACACCAGGCAGGTGTTTTCTTCATGTCAAGTTTTGCTTGATCAGGATGCTATCACACTTATTTCATTGGCACTAAATATGATGATCTGAGATATGAGCTCTCCTTCATTTCCAGCCCCTTGAGACAAGGAAACAAAAATACCTCACTCCTGTGATATTTAAAAAATCATGTGTATTGGTTGTTGGAATGATAATTATGCCTTACAAATCTGAGACTTTTAGTGAATTTTTCAGGCATGTGCCAAAAAACTCACTCACAAATTGTGTTCAAATCTTCTTTAACAGAAGGCCTGGATATATCACATAAGAAAGTATTCTAAATTAAGTATAATTTCATAAATTGCCAAAGACTAACTCATTATGTGATTGTCACTTATAGTAACTATAAGTGACAGTAACATCCTAGATGTAACTTGATTATTGCTAAGAGAAATTATCCCTCAATAAGACTGTGAATAGTTATATATGTAATTTAGTCTATAGCTAACCCATTAACTAGAGGTGCATGACATTAATGACTACTTGTGTATAATTGCAAAAATTATTACAATGCCCTCACATGGTATTTTGTGCCTATGAGTCTGTGAAGTTAATATGTACTTTAATCTCTGTATAAAAAACTTTTGAAGTAAGTCCTAATAATTTATAAACAAGGAAACTGAAGTACACATGTTAAGTAAATTCTTCACAACCAAACAACTGTTGATCTAACGGTTCATCATCATTAACACTATTTTCTGCTGTTTGAGCAATTCAGTCATTGTTAGGACTTTATTGAGTCACATACTAAATTTCCAATGGTGACAATGCTCTCTCCACTGTAGCTATCTTAAGTGTTTAAATCATGATCTAGATTGGAAATGTACAGAGAGTGGTAAAGCCATTGTCTATGAATCCTTTACTACTATCCTAGTTGGGATGAAACACCATGACATAAAGCAATTTGGGGTGAAAGGATTTATTTCATCTTACAATTCCAGGTAACAGCCCACCACTTAGGAAAGTCAGAGCAGGAACTCAAACAGGACAGGGACCTGAAGGCAGTGCTAATACAGAGGCCCCAGAGGGTTGCTGCTTACTGGCTTGCCCCTTGTGTCTTGCTCAGCTTGCTCTTCACGGATTTCTTATAATCCAGGACCACCAGCTCAGGGATGGCACCACCTACAATGGGCTTGACTCTCCCCTATCAATCAATAATTAAGAAAGTGTCTTACATCCAGATCTTATAGAGGCATTTTCTCATCCTGCACAACTACTAAATTTGAGCCCTAGCTCAAATGTATTGTATATTAGGTGATCTGTAAAAACCACTATAGTCTAGTTTCAAGGTGGCGAAGAAAATTATACACAAGGTAATTGATCTTCTGCCATGGACAGTGCTTTTCCTAGCTAACAATCCCATCTATCTCCCAGGCAGTGGTAAAAACTTTTCTTGACAAGCAATTTTATTGCATAACAAACAGGGTCATGTGAAAATATCAATTAGTATAGGATTTTCCACAAAAAAATTCAGAATTGAACTGAAACTTGGGGGAAAGCAGGGAGAAGTAAGTATAATCTGCTTGGAAAGTTGTGACATCATGATCAAGACAGCCATCCCTAAATTCTGTCCTCTGTGATCTGAGACTCCAGCTCTCCTTTATTCGCAACCCTTTGAGACT